TTCATTTTGGTGTTATTCACTCTGTTTTCAATACTTCTAGTACACGCACATGGGCATTCGTACTCGATCACAACGCTGTGTTTAGTGTTTTTGTTTATAAAAATCAGCTCATTGAGAATTTTTTTTGAAAGGAAAGAACTTGCAGTGGCATCTGTGAGTACGGATGGGAGGAACCGGGAGGAAGTGTTGAAAAGTTAAGTGAATTGCAGTTACAGTACTACATCAATCGGGTGAATGAACAATTTCTGCCATTTTTGAGTCCTTGCATCCAATGTAATATAAGGAAACACTTTAATTAATCATGACCTACTATTCGCGCTGAGTTATTGCGTGTAAGCTTAAGTCAGCTGGAAAAGTCTTTACCTGTTATATATCTTAGATTTAGTTTTCTAAACAAAAGTGCACACGAAACCAGTTACTTGGCAATGTTTATAATCCTTATTTCCACCTTATTTGTCATCTTAGCATGTTATTTTCTAATTGTCAGTCAAGACTTCTGTATATTTCACCTCCCTTTCTAAACTTGAGAAGTATCCTGCTTCTTCAGTTTTTTTTGTAATAGCTTTCGACATAATGGCCACAGAACCCTATTTTCTTGTTCTATCTATTCATTTAAAAAGTAATTACCGACGACTTTCCAATTTAAAAAAAACAATGGTATATTATCTCTATGCATATTTTTGAATTCATCTGATTGACACAATTGTGTGGTGAACAAGAAGTGACAAACTGTATTTTAAGTTTCACTGGAGGCACCGAAATTAATGTAATCTTCCAACGTGGTTTACTCATATGACATATAATAACAAGATACAAACTTATCTCTAAGTAAGGATAACAAAATGATAACCGATAATACACATAGTAATCGATTTATGATTGATTTATCTAAATCTAACTACTTAGATGAAAAGAATATTAGACTTTCACATTGTTATTACAGGAAATATCAGTCACCAGGCGTTACTACGTAGTAAAATACAATCAAACATATCTGTACATGATAGGGCGTTACTAATTAACGGCTTCTGTTTGCTAGCACGAAACGTAGGTTCAGAAACTCCTGTTCACTACCTCCATCCACCATCTTATTTCAAGGATTATTTACATGCAAAATAAAATGGATTAAAAGTAAACTTGATATGAAGTTCTAGTTGAATTAGCTGCGGACGTTTAATCACGACATTCCTTTTGTGTAATTTTCATTAAACATAGTGATGTGAAATTGATAGTGTATAGAAAAACAAGTACATTTTAATTTATTCATACGGAAACTTAATTGCGTATGTGAATTCTTTCATTAATTCTTTATGTGGGTGGAATGAAGTCTGTAAAACCTTTGTAAAGAAGACAAATCATTTTCAGAAATGCTTTCTAAGCATACGGGATTCATAGTATCAAAAAACTCAATATATTTTAATTTTTGTGAAATAATCCAGATATATATTCACGTATAAATCTGTTTTCTAACACTTCACAAGCATTCCAACATACTAATCAACCATAATTAATTGAAATAATACAAAAAATGTATTTGTAATAACATCTACGTAAAGTTCATTAGTTTACATTACACACTCGTGATATTATTTATTTACTTATAAGTACGTCTATTTATCTTAATTAAGTAATCAGTTGAAAGCAAGATCTGATAGCCAAAATACATTCAGTCATTTCATAAATAAATTGTTCACCCGGACCAGTAATTTGGTTAAATATTATTTTCTCGGATCTCTTATAGGCAAATGTTTCGAAGTGTATCCTCAAAGTAATATCATTGGTTCGTTGATCCACCCCAAATAAATCATCTCCAGGTTATTTATTCTTTAATGTTTCACATAGGAAAACTCCCACTAAACGAGGATTTCTGCAGAAACTAAACAAACGTGCACAATTTACCAAATTAAGATGTTATAGCTCTCCAATTCATACTGGATGTCTGAAGGTTCAGCTACCCACACATTCTACCTTTTCTAATCGCTATTTAAAATACTCACTAAACATAATACTAATCTAGATATCTATATTTGAACCATCTATACTTAACTGAATCGCCAACTATTCAAACCATTAGGTTTCACGTTTTGAAACCAGAAAGCAGTTTGTTGAATAGTATAATCTATCTACAAAATACTTTACATCAGGATTATCTCTACAAAAAGCACTGTGTAGAATAATTACTTTTGACATTGACACCTTAAACGAAGAGTATGCTTACAATAAATTACCCGCTGGTTCTATAGTTCGAGTACCATGAATTGATTTCATAATCACAACTATGACCATGTTTTTAACGAATTTAGTCATGATCGATCCTGAGGAACACAAATGAAGCTGAAAATATACAGTTGTTAGAAGTTTGAATACATTTTAAACTATGCACGAAGTCCATCACAGATATTTCGTCAATAATGGTAAGTATAGCGTAGAATTTCCCACATCACTACTTCGCTACCTTGAACCTAGTCATCAAACGAGATACTTTATTCAAAAATTTCAAAAGTTCGCTCATTACAGGATATTATCTGACCAACCAACTAATGAATATATATCGATCCCATTCCCGATGTCCTACTACTTATCATTATTCTCACGTCCAGTGTGTCATAGTTGATAAATAGAATAAAGATCTCTATTAGCTGAAGACACTGTGTTGATGATTCTAATTAACAATATCGGAACTACACACATGACATCATCTCAACATATGTGTGGATAACAATCACAAACAAGACACATGACCATGTATAAACCAAAGCGATTACATTTAATACTATGACACTCTCATACAGTTTGTTATCAGATCTTACCAGAGTTATCGAGAAGTCAGAATGATTCAATTGACTGTCACCTGTTTTGTTGCACTAGTTATTAGAACGAATAATAATTCAAGTTGTACAACTAAGGCACTCATAGGGAGATGTACAAACACAAAATATCAAATTACACAGTTGTTATGCGTGTGACGAAGAATTCATGTTAATAGGCAAACAGAATGAGATCATGCCAACGATAACTCTGATACGTACGTATCTACACCACTGATGCTCTTCTCTTTTGCCTATATTTTTGACAAATATATTTTCAACTCACTATATGAGATAAATTGAGCATGATTCCGAAATTGATGTACGAAAATGAATTTGCATCTCGTAGATTAGACAATTTTTCAAAATATGTGTTGCAATTGACTGAGGTGAAAATTAAGTGAGATTATATTTGGTTAGTATGGAAAATTAACTAACCGCCAGTCTTGTTATACGTGCCAATCACTTCGTCATGCTACTTGAGATAACTTCAAACGGATTTCGTTGAAATATAGGTTCGTTTTTCTAACGTTTCCTAATCGAACACTACAGTGTAAATTAGATTGGTTTTACGCTAGACTATTAGAAATCAACAGGAAATACGAAGTATTTGACAAGAATGTTAGATGCGTACCATTCTACTTTGTCACAGACAGCGGATTATAATCAAAGTACAGGTTGTTACATATGTTCGACAGCCCAACTTAACACAACATCAACAGACCAAGGTGAACCTTAAGACGATCAATAGCTAACGAGTCGAAATATTAATGCTATCAATAGTGATGTTGCGTGTCGATTGACTAATTCTCAAGTCCTACCAATTCAGATGACCGATCATGACAATGACAAGTTAGACGAAAATTAGACAGAACTGTTAAGTCCGAATTCACCGGAGTAAGCTACCTACGAAATTGGTACTGTCCAAAAGTTCATGAAGTCTAGTCATATTACTTCTGTGTGAAATGTGTTAAACTACTATTCAGTGAGAAACTTATTCTGCTGTACAGTTAATTTATCTTCTCATATCTGTTCATTCGGCAGTTACGTCAACAATCTGGTCTCATGAGAAGACACCACCCTGCCACATCGTGTTACTGCACATCATTTGTCGATCAGTGTTCTGTTCTAATAACCAGAAGCCTTGTTCGTCTATCACTAAATCCTTCATCATAACACAATGACTATTTTAATTTCCTCCTCTGCAATTTCACTCTGGCGATGATACCACATTCCAAAATAACATTAAAAAACTAGTATTCACTTTGGAGATACGACATAACCACGCTAGAACACCAAACATTTGTACCTATCTTCACGACCACACAAACCCTTACAGTTAATCTGATGCAATGACAGCCCCTGTTAACACCAACCAACCCTCATACTGGAGGCTTGTGAAACTAACTAACAGGAGTGGCTGTCGTATGATGGTCAGACACGATCATTTCTAAATCATTCACCTTAGTTTTATGCAATCCACTTTCATTAAACTAGTAATTTTGGACAGTGGCTTACACAGTTAACTGATAGATATCCATTTACCTGGAGGTGAGTTTAATCTATGCAATGAAGCCCACTAATACATACACAACAAAAATAGCCCTGAGATATCAAAGCACAGACCATCCAGATCTTTGGAAAATACTTTATTCAGCAGGGCTTTAGATTGTTTTCTACAGTAAGTGTAAAATATAAACTGCAATTTCGATCCACTTTGATGTGTATCGCCCAGTTTCCTTGTTATTGTAGAGATGTTTATGTTAGCCATAAGAAGCGAGCCCTTGGTAAACGAATATCCTAGCACTACCATGCATGGTTATCTAAAGGGGTATACAAATCACTCAACAGCTCATTTCTCGAACACATGGTCAATTCAGTTCACACGCCACCACGCATATCTGTGTTCAAAATCCTCAAAAAGGTTTGGATGAGGAATTTATGCACAGCTGAGGTTATAGTAACTAACCATATCAATACTGAATTCTGTGTAAAGAAGAGCCACGTTCAACCCCTTATTCTCCCATGGTGATCACCTCTTCAAAACTTACAAATTATAATTGCTAATTATTATCATCTGCTTCTCCTCCGTTATTAAGTAGACACTTATCTCTATCTTCTATCCCATAGATCAATATCTTTTATTGCTTCCAAAACTATTACATACCATAAGCACTTGATTGTTAATTACTTTGTTAGATGACGCAACCTTCCTTATAAAATACTTGTAAACTTTAATTACATTAAAATAATACCCTTCGATTTATAAATTATTACTTGAAATACTTGAAGGTTTTCGACGACTATATCATTGAAAAGGACTTTATTGTGACTAACCTCCACTTAAATAAATCTATTTTTGATAAGATTGTAAAACCCCTCTATGTTACGATAGACTAGTACACATAAAAAATCACTCATCAAGACAATAGTACAGCTTCAGGAAATGACATCGTCGAAAAAACTTTCTTTGCTGAAAAGTCTTCTTTTTCTTAAATAACGGTCATTGATAATACAAGCAAAGTCACCGAACAGTTGAAATCAAAATAATCGGGAAGTTAGTTAAGATAAGCATCTACATACAGAAGTGAACTCAATTGCTTAAGAGATACATTCCACAACCAAAAATAACACGTTATGATTCAATATATAAAAAGCATTTCGGTATCTCAGATATGCAGGAAAAATAACTGATGTCAAGTAATAAAAATGGAACGAAGTATGAGAGAATAGGGCATTTCCACACAAGACAGCATGTTCAAACTTGGAAAAGTGAATAAACAGGAACGCCAAGATCTTCTAGTTTTTTACGTCCAGGCAGATTCTTCAGTTCCATGTACAACAAGCTGAATAAAACCTTAGCTCCAGATAGGTTTACCAAATTAACACAAGCTTCCAGACTTCCACCAGTGGCTAAAACATCGTCCAATAATAATACATTATCACCAGAATTGATAACATCCTTTTGCATTTCTACGGTATCCTATGGTTACAAATAAACAGTAAGACAATGAAGGGCATGTTCCAGAGCAATATTGAATGAAATAAGTATAAATATCGATTAAAATTGCTATCCATGTAGACGGTTAACTCTCTACCATCCCTACTATCAAGGCTACTGCGAAAGACTTACAAAGGGTATTGTATTCAATATTAAACCTATACTTAGAATAGTTAACACTTTTGAGTGACTCCAAATGGAAGCTAGACTTTCCAACCTACTCTGTGAGGAGTAGCTACACTTAATGTTTCGGTAGATAAAGGAACTGTCTTATATCAGCAGTAGTCACACCCGATGAAGCACTAATAATTTTCTACAACCATGATCGATTAGTCACACTGAAAAGTTGCCTCCTATTGTGTTATTTTCAATTGAAAATTCTTGGCAAGTCATTCTAGGAATATTTACGATTGCTTTTACAAAACATCTGGATCATAACAGAGACAACAAAATAAGCGAATGACATTTATAGATATTCCAGGCTAACTTAAACTGGATTTAAAACAGTTTTTACGCTGAAGAGCTCAAAATTCGTTACTGTAGCTCTGTTGATTCTTAAGCACTTCAGACAATGACAGTGTTTGAGCGCATGATTTTGTCCTTTCAGTTATAAGTATACAAACTTTCTATTGTTAGGAAGGTAAACAATGAGCCAAGCAACCACTGTTGCAACTGACTGATTAGTTAGTTTAGCTAGTAGATGTCAAATGACCAAATCTAGATTTGGTAGTGTAGTAGCTACTACACTAGTCACAAGAGAAATATTAATTCGTCGCTTGTGTGGAGTTAATTGCAAAAATAACAATCTTTATGTCACAAATCATATGATTCGGTAATATTACCACAAACTTACAGTTCCATATTCCAATGTATATCGATGAGAGTAACAAGGACCTGGAAGTTTTCCTGCTTTTCGAATAGGGACGAAGGAGCAGTTCAGACGAAGGGCAAGTGCTGGTCCCAGAAGAAAGCCGCGTGACTCGAGGCCCACAACAACATCTATCTTCTAACGTACTGTACACAGGTTGTAACACAACTTACTTTACATTTACGCGCTGCCTCGGATGTCGCCACATAATATAATTCATCCAATAGATATTGGGTTAAGACAGGATTCATGAAAACACCAAAGAAGTCACTTCATAGGTATAAGCACATATTATATAGAAAGGACAAAATACCGGAAGAGAATGCCTTTCACTGGAAAGTTCGGTATAATCCCGACAGCTGACTCGATGGCTCTAAGTCTAGAATCGCGATCAGACATTTTACGAAACGGACTGTAACTGAAACATCCACAGCTCAGTCCGATCAGTATTTATACACTTATGTTTTCAGATGTAACGAAGACAGGTTGTTGAGCAAGCACTACTTAGTTTATTAAATGAGAGTTTAGTAGGATAATTCTTGGTAATGTCTTTGATTTATGCCATGAAATTCACAACATGTATTTTTTCCTTACATTTTGTGGACTGCGCTACACCGAACCTGTGTCCCGTATCGACAATGAAGTTGACCCCATTGATTTTGCTAGAGACCCCAGCTAAAGGTGCTCGATCACTCACACCAGATCGCCATTGAGTACATCGTGCTACGAGTCCTTTCCAACTATTAGCCAGCTTAGATCAAGCGTCTCTCCGACATACCGATAGCCCATCAAATATATCTTGGGAAAAAAGTCCGCGCTTTTCGAACAGGAATTTTAGTCCTAACGTGATTTGCATTTATTAAACTTTTGCTGTTATCTTACGCAATAAAAGTACCGTTTCTAGTCGAAAGAACCTATTCTGAGCTATATGTTCGGCAGATTACTTTTTTTCGGGTTTCACCCAATTTAATAGTTAACCGTGGTTTTGCCTCAGCTTACCATTCTTTTTTTTTAGTTTTTCACGTAAAGGCTAGTTCAGTTTATCTCATCCGTTTTTATCCCTTTTTCCCGTTTTTAGCGTGCTTTTTAGTGTATTTTTAACGGTCTTAGTCTTTTGCTAGCATTTATAACACAGTTTACGTCAATATAGTCATGAAAAATTCATGCAAACGACCTAGATGCCATTTTGCTGTTACATCTGACACAGTGCGACAACTGCAAAGGTTGGTTCCACGAAGCGTGCACAGATCTCATAGCAACTGCTCACAACAGACTCAGCAAGTCGGATCATAAGTGGAAATGTGTTACGTGCAGCACGGATGCTGTAGTCTTGCTGAGTATCATCAATGTCCTATTGACAGGTCTGCGGAATAAGACATTCATACAACGGGTAGGCAAACAAGGGCGCTCAACGAAAACAAGAATAGGGATGTCGATAGTTCTACCATCGCTGGAGCATACATTAGCACTAATGATGACATGCTGAAACTCGGCACCATCATTACGTCGACGGTAATAGGCTCCCTCAGTAAACTCGGGTCCCCCGGCTCAGGGTCCCTGAGCAACAGCGGTACCCAAAAACTCTGTAGGTGGTTGGACCCGCGTTAACAGAGCTAAAAAGAACCGGGCGTCACCGTCTAAGCTGAACATCCCAAGAATGTCCGTCCGGTCATCAAAGAGCCTAGGGTTCAGAAACTTGCTTCGACCTCCAAACAACAAGGTGCTGAACCTGAACGCACCGGAAGACCTGGGAAAACAATAACGGTTCATGATGACTCTCTCATAATCATGGACCTCAAAGACAACCCTGACCTTCCTCTCAGTTTGCAGGACAAAAATGACAGGATTCTATGGGGTGAATTGAACAAGAAACTTGAACTTCCTAGAATAGAGCCTTTGACGGCCACACGGGTCACTCGGGGAGAGGGATCCAAGCATCAAAATCACCCGAGGCTACTTCGTGTAACACTTGAGAATGGTAACGACGTAGAGGATGTCCTGCGAGCTAGTGATATACTGAAATCCAATGGGAACGCAAGAATACTGCCCGACATACCGTATTCTGAGAGCAATTTCATCCGCAGCATCCCTAAAGAATCTCGCGAGTTTTTCCGCAGAAGAAATGTCACTGTGCAAGGTGTACTGGAAAACACGAACCCTAGCAAAAAAACTTTGATATTAGGGAATGGAAATCCATAAAACAGTCCTTGAGGCTCGAAAACATGCTGACTCAACATGTGACGAGACTAGCCAAGAAGGACGGTGGTTCTAGACCCCGGCTAATGAGGATAACCTTCCCATCCTACTATAGGGTGGCCGCAACTCTGGAAGCATTTCGTGCCAACATATGTAGGTTGCCAACTGGATCCACATGCATCCGGACAGGCTATATGAAGCCAGGACCAAGCACAAAGACAAGTTGGAGCTCATCATTCCACTTGTGGACTGTCTTGATGATAAAAAAATATGTAAAGGTCAGGGCCCATCAACTCGGCAAACCTTATATAGGTAGGCTACCTGTCCATTCACGTAAGGCTCATACAGAAAAACAGGAAGAAGCTCACGAGTTTGAAATTGAAAGCACAAACTGCTTATTTATGAACGCCGCGAGTTTACCAAACAAAATGGATGAGCTACGTGAACGCAGCAATGCTAATAAGGTTCATCTGATAGGAATATCTGAATCTTGGATATCTTCTCAGTTCTCGGACCAGGAGCTAGCAATACCTGGGACGTCTTTGTTTCGCAACGACAGAAAAACAGGAATTGGGGGTGGAGTGGCCACATACATACGATCTTGCCTGGAGGTACACCAAATCCACAACCTCCAGTTTGACATTCTTGAAGAATCCAAATGGTGCTCTGTAAGATTTTCTACTACTTCGAGGTGTCTAGTCGGAGTCATATATAGGTAGCCCACCGCCGAAATCGAGTATGACAGTCGTATGCTGGAAGAACTATCCAGCTCTACTCGTCTCGGTTTCACTCATATCCTGATTCTAGGGGACTTCAATCCCCCTAGAATCAATTTCGCGGAACAACCGTATATTGAAGGTGAAAACTCAACTGAAGCTCGGTTCTGCAACCTCATTGGGGATCTGGGATTATACAAAAATTTGAAGTCGGCAACGCGTTGGAGAAACAGTCAGACACCGTTGCACTGGGTATTAACAAATGAAGAATTTCTAGTTGACAACCTCTCAATCCCGGCTCCCCTGGGGAAAAGCGATAACACCAATTTCCAGAGGATGTCGACACAATGAACCTTTAAGTTACCGACCGGTGGTACCATCGAAAATCGTGGAGTCCCTTATATGCAATGGTATAAATGACTACTTACTGTCCTTAAATTTCTTCTAACCCCAACAGCATGGTTTCATGAAGGGTTACTCTTGTATAACCAACCTGCTGACTGCGGTGGACAGATGGACAAGCATCTTCGATCGCAAGGGGAAGGTTGATACAATTTGCCTTGATTTCTCAAAAGCTTTTGATAGGGTTAACCATATATGTTTTATCAGTAAGTTCAAACGATTGGGTATCAGAGCACCTCTAACTGATTGACTCACTTCATGTCTGAAAAATCGACATTTGAGGTTAAGTTTAAATCACCTTATCTCAGGCTATGTCCTAGTGGGGTCCCCCATAGATCAGTACTAGGACCTCTTCTCTTCTTGATTTATACAAATGATCTTCCTCAACAGGTAACGTCCGACTTATTACTTTTTGCCGATGACGTGAAACTTTGGAGAAAGATGCCCAATCAAGAGAATACAGGCACTTCAGGAGGATCTGACTCGACTTCAAGGTTGGGCAGATGACAACGGACTTACCTTCAACACTTCAAAGTGCAAAGTGGTCCATCTGCGACATGTCGCAGACTACAGTTATAACTTGAAAAACACCTCTCTAGAAGTATCTCGAGTCGAAAAAGATTCAGGTGTCCTGGTGCCCTACGATTTGAAGTCTTACACTAATGGTGACAAAAATATACTTCGAGCAAACCTTGCACTGGTAACATTAAAGCGCATTTTTGGCCAGTTTGACGGAAGAACTTTTCACAGAATCTTCAACGCTTTAATTTGTACCCATTTATAGTACGGAAACATAGTATTTTCTCCCCCACTCCAAAAGGATAAGGACAACCTGGAGCGTATCCAACGGCGAGACACGAAATCAGTTCGAGACTCAAATTTAAACCTTATGAAGAGCTCCTTCAATCACTTAACCTTTACCTAATAGAGTATAGACGTCTTAGAGGTGACCTTCTGATGGCTTACAGTATCCTTAACACTTCTGGAAATCCTCTTAAACACCTACTTAAGCTTAGCCCCAATACCACCCCAAGAAGTAACATCCAGAATTTGGAAACACAACATAGCAGAAGGGACTGTAGACACAACTTCTACTCCTTAAGAGTTGTCAAATGCTGGAATTCTCTGCCGGCCGAGCTAGTCCAAGTGACTTCCCAGGAGTCCATTAAGAGGCAACCTGATCTATTCTCGAGGACTAAGGATAGTATCATACTATGATTTACCAATTTATTTTTCCTCTTTTATCGTTAACATACCTAGGTTCCTGACTGGAGTTATTCGTGATCTCCAGCTACTAGACACGGAAGCCTGTAAAGCGAAAGCTTCTTCTATTCCGTCCACAACCATTTGAACCATTTGAACTTCTTCATTTCTGTCTTTTGATTTGACTGGCTTGGCGTACTTCGATTGTGAATGTTTTACTAGTTAAGGTGTTGTCAAAACTCCGAGTAATTGCGGCATTTTTTAGTGGTAATACTGACTTGATCTGGTACACCAATTCTAAAACTGTGAGACTGTTTCTAGTCGGAACATCGTATACTACTTCTTAATTGTTGTAGTTTACATATTGTGGTATCGTTTTCACATTTTCAGATTCTTTTCTCGTTCACTGGTATACTTTATATCCATCACGGCGGGACAGACTTCCAAGTTATTTGAAATTATGACTCATTTACCTCCCTCTTTTCAGCTGGTGCCGTTTCGGCCTGACA